GGTATTTGATAGATAATTATATGATAAATAGATTTCTTCATGGAAAGTGCTGACGTACGGGATTTTCGCACGAGTTGGTGATGAATCTAAAATCGAACGAGTGAGATTTTAGATTCAAAACCAACGAGTGCGAAAATCCCGTACAAAAGCACTTTCCATGATGAAGTTTGTTTATTATATACATACTGAGATTTTATAGCGTCTACTTGAGCGACTTTTGTGCATTTTAATGACAGTTTTGTCTTACAAACTCGCTTGAAGTTATTTGCGATCAAACTACGATACAATTTAAATGCTGAATTGGATAATTACATGGGCTTCCAAAGGAAGACCATGTCTTAAATTACCGACGTTTTTCGTCTGTGGTATGCTTCAAATTRTATCCGGGACCTTTTCATTTTTGACATCTATTGTCTTACTGTCATTTATGTTTCTAAGCAACGATTCAAAGGTCGCCTCGTGTGTAATAATAGCCGGCAAAGTTTTTAGATCGAACATGTTGGATCTAGGTCATCTAGCTTCTACAAATACGCTAGATTCTTTTACAAACCATTCGCGGCATAGCCACACTAAAAAAATTCGAGCGTTTCTCAAAAGGGCGTTTAGAGAGATACGGCGAATTTATCGTGATGATCTATCTGCTGATCGTGAATTATATATCAAACATTAGCTTATCAAAAGCTAAATTATACTAGTACCGGCTCTACAATCACCAAGGACTTATCTAAGACATGTCAACAGATTTATACTGAGGAAAAACAGAGGATTGGAAGTATTTTAAGCGAAGAACATGAAAGACTATCGATCTGTGTTTAATACAGCCAAGGATGCGACTCTTAAAGTAACGGCTCGTCAGACATAAATTACTTCTTTCACAATATTATTAAATTCTACTAAGTACATTACTTATTTGATTATTTTTCATTAAAGGAAATCTTTTTTTTGCTGTTGTCTTAGGAATATTAATTTCATTAGGGTTCAATATCATTTACTGATTGTAATATACCACAGGAAGCCCATGTAAAGGATCGCTGATCGTCTAGTTATAAATAAATCACATCAATAACTTAGTTTATAGTTAATTTTCATTCACTGAATATGATAAAATTAACGAAAAGCTACATTAGAGGAAAGTGCAACAAGCCTACAAACCTTAATCAATGAAACTGTTTACTTTCTATCGCCGTCGTCGCAAATCAACTTTTATGGACGCGTTTTATCCATATAATAGTGTTCTGCTTTCTATACTTCTGTTGAAGATGAAGTACATCTATAAGGACTTATATCTAATACTGAGAAATTTGCCATATAAAATACAGCTTCTTTGAACAGTTCTACTGCTGGCGACGGTGGTTGACTTGACAAGCGCGGGTTTCAGTTTCAATTCAAACATCGAAGTTGTGCTGGGACTGAGTGAGTTTTCGCTGTGGTCTTGGGGAATATACTGGGAATATTTGCATTAATTCTTTTAGATGTCGATTAAAACTTGAAAATATATCTTAAGGACCTGCTGGTTCAGAAACTTCAGTGTCTTTAGGCTTCACAATCATAATGAAGTCGCAGAGATGTCAGAGATGTATTCGTTCAGCTATTTGCTTTCGGTCTCTTGGAATTGGATTTCTTTGCTTAAGACTTTTTCTCTCGG